TATCATCTGCATATCTGAGGTTGTTGATATTTCTTCCAGCAATCTTAATTCCGGTTTGGGATTCCTCCAGTCCAGCCTTTTGCATGGTGTATTCTGCATATAAGTTAAATAAATAGGGAGACAATATACAGCCTTGTCATACTCCTTTCCCAATTTTGAACCAATCAGTGACTCAGTGATTTTTCCTACTTTTTGGACTACAAGACCAATCACTCAGCCAGGTAAAGTTTTCTTAAACATTTTTTCCTACTGTAGAGTTATTTGGATCTCTGATGCAGCCTTAAATACTTCCTACATAATACTGCCCTCTTCTGTATGAACCATATAAATGCTGCTCAGCTGCATTATATACAATGTGGAGGAATAAAATTTCCCCAATAAAGAGATAGTAATGATTAATTTAATAACAACCAGATGCTGTCAGTTCTGACTTCTGGTGACCCTTTTCAAGTTTTTTTTTTTTAGGTAGAGAGTAATTCAGAAGTGATTTACCTTTCCCTTATTCTGGGGGCATCCTAGGGGGGCAGCTTGCCCAAGGCCACACAGGCTGACTCTTCTTTCAGGAGGCACAGCAGGGAATTGAACTCTCAACCTCTTGTATCTGCAGCCAGATACATACATAAACCGTTGGATAAATCCGGAGCTTAGGTATCTGGCTATGGAGGAAGAGATTGGCAGTTAGGGAGTTTACTAAACTTTACTGACATAATGGAGACTCCTAGGATTGACTGTTAGGTGGGCTTTGAGGTGACACAATTAGGACATTGGGCTCTGTCTTTCCTCCCCTCTGTCTATTTCCTTCTCCTTATTCAGTTTTTCTCGTGGTTGTATAAATACCAACGACCGCCCAGTGCCTTACTGCCATAGGATGCCTGGGCTTCACAAGTGAGAAAGGATCCATCTTATGATGGGCGTCTCATTCATTAGTTCACCACTGGGACTTAGGCCATTTCATTTAGGTTGTTACACCTTCTGAATAGGATCTTGGCCTTGATTTTTAAAGTCTGCCATACTCCCAGACTGATAGACCAGCATAGTTCCTCCAGGTCACAGCCATTGGTGCCTGCCCCTCCCATTGCCCCCTGGGAGCAAAATATTTATGTTTAATTTTTAAATGGAAATCTGGCAAGGAAGAAATAATGTCATAGCCCCAGAGCAGGGGCGGGTTGGGATGTTTGTCCTAAAGGGAACAAGGTAAATTAGCCACCCAGAGTAGTGGCATGCTCATTAAACGGGCGGGGTATAAATCTAAATAAACAAAATAGCATTGATCTCAACACCTTTTATTTGAATAGAGTGAACACACTCTGAAATTAAATTTTCTTTCTTGTGATTTGAATCCCTTAATCCAGTGCTTCCCAAACTTAGGTCCCCAGATATTCTGGGACTACAACTCCCAGAAATCCTGGCCAGCACAGCTCGTTTCCCAAGGCTTCTGGGAGTTCCAGTCCAACAATATCTGGAGACCCAGAATTGGGAACCACTCCATTAGTCCATGACCTACCCTGTTTAACAGAAGAGACCAAGTTCCTCCTCCAGTATTGATTTTTTTAAAAGTGTTGGGTTCCACCTTTGGCAGCCTTTGGTGCTGGTCTGAAAAAGACTTACTCCATGGGTACCCCTTGTACACAGGCTGGCTCTACTCACAGGAGGCACAGTGGGGAATCGAACCCCCAGCCTCCAGCTGTGCAGCCAGATGCCACAACCACTGAGTTATCCAGCAGTTCTCCAAACCAGTTTTTTTGGACAGTAAACTGATGGGGAGATGTAACTTTGAAGGTATGTTTAAATACAAAGCATGCCAATAAAGAATGGTAGGTGAGTCTCTAGAGGCTGCTTTAATAAACATTAAAAACTGTGATTCACAAGGCAAGGATCTGGCTGCAGGAAGGGCGTTATGACGCCGTTGAACTGCAGAAGCTGACTTTGACCGCCTGGTGCCGGAGGACGCAAGCCAGCCCGGCCACGTGACAAAGGGGGAGGGGGGCTAGTGTTTATTTAAGGGAACGCTAGCCCTCAAAGCATCCTCTTCTGCTTTCTGGCACCCACCCGCCTGCCCTCTTTCTAGTGTGATATTTGGGTCACCTTTTTTGGTGCCGGATAGGGATTTTTGACCTCTATCCTGATTAACTATGGGATGGAGGGATTTTTCGCCTATCCCACACTGGAAAAGGCTTGTTGGCATTTGATTGGTGGTTATTCTCGGTCACACTGGCAGGCAGTGCAGGAAAAAACTGGTTGTCTCGGTGTGTCCCTTTGATAATTATGCTAAGCCAACAGCGCATCAGACCTCCCGGCTCTGCGGATCGTGTGATTACAGGGCCGCTGTTGGGAAGATGTGCTGGGCCAACTTCGGACCGTCAGTCATCAAATCTAGATGGCTCGAGGTCTGGGGTGTTTAATAGAGGCCGGCTGGGTTCCTCCTGTCATCAAGACAGCTGGAACCTGGGGCCTGGGACTCGCCCATTAACTGATAAGGGTATCATGGATGCCATGCAATTCTTTCTCCGCACTACCGCAGGCCCCCTCAATTTATGGGGAAAATGATTTCTATAATCAGAATTGATTTAATAAAGTGTGGCCCGTATTTAATCCAGATCACTGTCTTGCGTCTTCATTTTGGGACCTGGGAGGGCAAGGAATCTGCTTTGCATTTTACACCAAACTGTGAAAGAGCTATGTAAGAGGTTGAACCTTTAAAAGACGGAGACATGGCAGTTAAAACTGAATCAGACTGTCATAGTGTTAAGTGTAGGAATGCTCCGTTCTAAGCCTGGGAGAGAAGAGCAGGCAGGGCCATCTGATCTTCTTCAGTCCCTTGGGAAGGTCACAAACACATCCTGCATTTTCTCCTGATAAACATGGTCAAAGTATTCATTCTGTGCCACCGTCAGGTGGTTCTTCCAGTCACCAGAGATCCCTGGAACACTCTAAGAGGGAGCAGCAAATACAAATCAGTTAACCAACCTAATGACATTCATGCACCTCAACAGACAAGTCCTATCATTAGCTAAAATTTTACAAATGACTAAGGTGACTGGCACTCTAGGGCAATGGCTGCATGGGTGTTCCCGTTTCTTCTCCTTTAATCAAACAAATCCATCCTTCTGAAGCTGTCCTCCAGCAGATATGACGTTTGCTTCCTTCCTGGCCCACACCAGCTGTCCAAAACATCACAAACAGCAGCAGTAGGAAAAGTTACTGATCAAGCCAACAACTGAATAAATATACAAGCTATGCACCCCATCAGGGGTCACGCAAGTTGCTCTGCTCACAGGATGTACTTTGGCACCACTGATGCTGTGTTTCATCACTGGTTTGAGCAGGGGGCAACCTCAGGACAGTGACATAACTCTCTGGGCTTTAGAATTTAGCATATAAAGGCACACATGCAGATACGGGTATCCTTTATTGACTGTCGCCTTCTGCTAATTACACCATGATATTGTCCCCGTGATTTCTGCACATCATAAGAGGAAAGAATTCCTTGGTACATCTTCTTATCTTTAATACAAAGACCCCAAAGTGTAGGCGATGTAGAATGTGAAGACTACATGATTCCATTCTCCACATACTCTTGATTGGTAACCTTGGAGATGGACATGCGTTCCACAAAAGATTCATGCATAAAATATCCTCCATATCAGTAACAGCAGAGGGCGTAATCTGTCATTCTTCAATCCCACGGGAAAGTCACACCCACACCCTGCATTTTCTCCTGATAAACGTGGTCAAAGTGTTCGCTCTGTGCCACGGTGAGGTGGTTCTTCCAGTCTCCACAGATCCCTGAAACACCACAAGAGGGAGAAGTAACTATAAACAAGTGGGGGTGAGTGGGTCAATGTACCAAAAATAATATACCTCTAATGGTCAACACTTTAGATTCTTTTTAAGGAGGAAATATAAAAATATTTTAAAGAAATAAACACTAGTGTAAGGTTGGCTGTCTCAGATGAAAAGACACATGCCAGCTCTTCTCAGCTCTGCTTTTACCTTTCCTCATGAATTTTCCTTTACTGTGATCCATATTTGGTAATAGGGAGAAGTTGGACATCTTGTTGTCCTTCATGATTTGGAAGGAGGCATATTTAGCCACTTCATCCAGCTGGTGACTGGCCAGTTCCTTACCAAGGAAGTGGCAGATCTTCTCCACACTGCCTCGCAGGTCCTGCAGGAGAGAAAATCATAAGAATCTCTTTTTTTTTTCATTTTGCATGCTGAAAAGTTAGACTGCTTCCTTGATCTTTAGAGTACTGTTAAAATATACAGTTACAACAGTTTGATACCAGTTTAAAGGCCTTACCTAGAACCCAGGATGTGCAGTTGGGCGAGGTTTTTAAAATTACTTCAAGAAAGAGCCTGAGAGATCCATAAGAGTAGGAAATTCTAAGTATCAGGATTCTGTCCACAATTAATGTGGTATCAATCTACTCTCAGATTGTGGTTGAGAGAAACCCAGTATTCCTTTATCTGCCACTCAACTGAGCCAAATGGACAACAGAGCCCTTAGAAAACCTCTACCTGGCAAAGTACAGTGTGCCATCGTGTCTCAGCCAACCCAACTCCTGGAAATCAGCTCAAGAGAGCTAAGAAATTGAATCAGGTTCTGAAAATGAGGGTGGAGGGCAGACCCCGTCTAATATGGCACACAGAAAAGGTGGGCTGCACTAGATCACAGGTTCTCTGCCCATTCTATGTCTTTCATTTCTTTAAAAAATCTTGGCTTGTAAGAGAAAAAGGTATCTTGCAGCCACAGAGGAATTTTGGGTTGAAATGTTACAATATTAGACTTTTGGAAGACCAAACGGTAGAAAGCAGTTACGGTCAAACAATTGGAGAAACATGAATACAGGAAAAGGGCAAACCAGACCTGATACAGCTCTTCATAGGTGATGAAGACGATATTGGGTCTGTCCTTCAGCTCCAGCCAGCCTTTCACATGGTCGAACCAGGAACCATAAACCACTGGAAAACCAAAACATATGCAATGAACTATGAAGAGCTGGGCATGGAATGGGGCATTTGGGCAGATGGGGACTGATCTGGACCTAGAAGTCCATTTTCCCTAATTCAGAGGAAGGTGAACTCCAAAATATGGTCCTGGAATTTCACAGACGAGAGGTTTGCATTGATCCTGAGCTCTCCTTAGAACTGCTCTCCAGTATCTAACTCCTGCCAAGACAGAGGTTGTGCATATTCAGATTCAGTGGGAAAGAGTGGGCCACTTGCAGTTCATGGCCACTGGTCCCATCACCTCCTGGCAAATAGAAGGGGAAGATATGGAGGCAGTGACAAATTTTACTTTCTTGGGCTTCATGATCACTGCAGATGGTGACAGCAGCCACGAAATTAAAAGACATTATTGCACTGCAGATGGGAGGAAAGCAATGACAAACCTCAACAGCATCTTGAAAAGCAGAGATATCACCTTGCCAACAAAAGTTCGAATAGTCAAAGCTATGGTTTTTCCTGTAGTGTTGTATGGAAGTGAGAGCCGTACCATAAAGAAAGCTGACCGCTGAAGAATTGATACCTTTGAATTGTGGTGCTGGAGGAGACTCTTGAGAGTCCCCTGGACTGCAAGGAGAACAAACCTAACCATTCTGAAGGAAATCAACCCTGAGTGCTCACTGGAAGGACAGATCCTGAAGCTGAGGCTCCAATCCTTTGGCCATCTCATGAGAAGAGAAGAGAAGACTCCTTGGGAAAGACCTTGATGTTGGGAAAGTGCGAGGGCAAGAGGAGAAGGGGATGACAGAGGATGAGATGGATAGTGTCCTTGAAGTGACCAACATGACTTTGACACAACTCTGAGAGGCAGTGGAAGATAGGAGGGCCTGGTGTGCTCTGGTCCATGGGGTCACGAAGAATCGGACACAACTAAACGACTAAATGACGACGTAGTGAGGTGAGACACGACTAAACGACTAAACGACGACGTAACTGTGATCCAAAAGGCAGTTGCATGTTAAGCTTCATGTCAGTACATGCTTTTATTTGTGAGATCAGGCATCAAATCAAATGTACGGTCAATTATGCAGTTAATTCTGCCCCAACTACAATAGAATTACAGGCACTGGATACTTAAAAGCATTTTTCTTGATGCTTATTATACACGACTAAACGACTAAACGACGACGTAACTGTGATCCAAAAGGCAGTTGCATGTTAAGCTTCATGTCAGTACATGCTTTTATTTGTGAGATCAGGCATCAAATCAAATGTACGGTCAATTATGCAGTTAATTCTGCCCCAACTACAATAGAATTACAGGCACTGGATACTTAAAAGCATTTTTCTTGATGCTTATTATCTATGTCTTTATTATATTTAGAGCCCACATTCCATCCAAAGTGGCTCTCCAGGTGGCTTAAACAATTTTAAAAGAATAAAAACAGATAAAATGAAATTTAGTTAAAAAGAATAAATTCATAGACTAGCTCCATCTGAAAAAGCATTAAAACCAGGAAAACATACAGATGCAGAACTTAGAAAAAGATGGAAAGCCATCAGCCTGCCTTTCAGCCAATGCTTTTTGAGCGGCCTATTGGTTCAACCCAATTTTGAATATGAT